AGTTTGGATATCCTGTTGGCACAGATGACATATCTGCATGAACACCTGAAGTAGTAACGCTTGACAAAGTGGTAGGAAGGAGAAGTCCAGAAGAGTCTATATTAGAGCCGAAAAACGATTGTTGGTTTTGGGCATCTACACCACAAGTCACCTGCTGTTGACTAGAAGCCGAGTTGTTGGTATATTTCGGCAACCATGACTGTTGGGGTTGTTGCTGCTGCTGCTGCTCATTGACCATAGACTGACCCATTCTTTTGAAATTCAAGAGATTATTGCTAGTATTCCCTTCTGGACAAAGGGAACCCAACATAGACTGCATGCTTGAAGGAGAAACCGGCGACACAAATTTTGCGTTTGAATCTGCAAAGTTATTCTTTGGAAAAGAGGGAATATTCTGCATAGTGAAAGCGTCATGATAAGCATGTTGTTTGACCGGTTCCTCGGACTGACTACTGCTGGTTTGCTGTTGGGGAGGCCTTTGAAGGCTCTCAGATAGCATTTGGGTCTGCTGGATTAACTGCTGCTGCTGCTGCTTAAACATTGGATTGTTATTGCTACCCGAAGCTTGCATATAATGGATGGGAGGTTGATACTGCATTAGTTGCTGTTTGAACGGATCTGCAGAATTTCCCATGGTCTGCAAACCAGCAGCAAGCATAGCTTGGTACTGCTGATTAAAGTCGCTCCGAAGCAAAGCTGGATCAACTCTCTGTTGCATCCATGGAACCATACCAAAAGACTGAAGATTCAGTGATTGTGGTGGTGGTCCTCCTCCATGCTCTCCCATTTCCCCTCTTAGCCACGACATTCCGTTCATGACTTCACTGTTATTGTTGTCTGCAATTTTAATAAGAAGACAAAAAGATCAACATCCATCCCAGTTAAGAGGTAAAGGATTGCGACTTGTAACGAATTTGTATTAATTATAAGATTGTTGTACCTTGAAAGGATGAGAGTCCTGGATACCAAGGTCTTTTTAGCCTGAGGGGAAATAAGGACGTGTACATGGGAAAAGTAGTCAACGGTTCAATTTCCCATAACGATACCCTTGGTTGTCTTTCACCGGCAGTAGACTCATCCCAACCAACCTACACATTCATAAAAAACAACAGCTAAACATATAAAAGTTTTACGAAAATACTATGATTGCCAACGGAAACTGTAACAAACCACACTGATTTTTGTTTACCTTAACAGACCTCCAGTGAGAATTTGGCCAACGAACACCATCCAAGTCACCGATGCCAGTAATTGTTCCCATGTATCTGGACAAAATGCAATCATCCATATGTCAGAGGGATGTGACAGAAAAACCATAGAATGTCACTGTGGTAGCATTTAGTTAGAAGGATTATGACTGAGCAAATACATAGAATAGCGACTTAGGGATAAAACTGGAATAAGGGGAAATAATCCTATATATATACCTGCGGACGCTTGATTCTTCTGTTTCAAAAAGCATCCTAAAGCGCATCCCAACAGAGACACGGGTGTGATACACAGCCTTAATGTACTTTGAAAGAGGTATGACAAACTCAGACGGGCTTGCACTGAGATGATTAGGAGGAGGATGTGAAATAGAAAGAGTGAAAACATTTCCCATAAACGACATGTAGAAAGAACATAAGGTAGATTTTGACTACCGTGGATTGAAAAACACAGTGAAACAACTATTAGTAGCTGCAGCATGAGCAGCAGCAGCTAGAAGTCCAATGTGCATACTGTCACTTGACAGGACTGATGATGGCATTACAGTTTGTGGTCTGATTGCACGGCGAATTCCCAGCAGCAGTTGATTTTTCTCATTCCTGAAACAGAAGCATTTTCAGATGCCCATATACCAAGATTTAAACCAAGCAAATTTTCAGATGCAAAATGAGTACCAGATGAAAAGAACAGAATCTCCTGCAACAAGTCTTTTGGCACTGACAAACACACTCCAGCCAGTAGTAAGAAGATGTCGCTTGGGCTGCCCTGCAATATGCATAAAATAGAAGAGCATTCTGTGAAGGAACCATGGATCAGCATTCAGCATTCTGGATTATGCCAATGGAACATTCTGCTTTTATCATACTTGTTTGGAACCTTGTTTTAGATTACATTAAATTCAATAGAAATGTGCTTCTTTTGTCGAAATAGTGGGGACAGTTCTAAAACATGAATCTTTTTCTTTTGGTTGTAGGGGAACACATTTGGTTCCTCTTGTATTATTTTAATATTTTCACTCTATGGTTTACTAATCTATCTTTACCATCGAAATAAACTTATGACGAGTTCATGTTATACCTCGGAAAATATGTCTGAACTTCCATTCGACATCATGTAGATCCCTTGCAATGAGTTCTTGGCAAGGTGGCGTCTGTGAGAAATCCTGAAGGGACAAATAGGGAAAAAGAAAGATATCACAGTATGAGAAGATGATACTCCAACCATAAATAACAGTCAGAGCACGAGCGCAGTAAATACCAGAGGAGGGAAAACTTTCTCTGCAGCTCGACGAGGAACAGAGAAGCCACCATGAGTACTAGTGTCACTTGCTGTGAGTGTCTTGCAAAAATAGTTAGTTGGCTGCTTGCTGGGAATTCCCAACTCAACGGGAAGATAAGTATCTTTTTGTTCTTCCTAATAACACAAACAGAGAAAGATTTTAGCTATCAAAATCTATCAAAAGGTTTATCCGTGGGTAAGTTTATACGACGATTTGGGAGGGAGTACCGCAGTCAGGGGTTGCAATGTCATTTGAGCATACACTTCATCAGTTTCAACATCTGCCTGAAATCCCACATGTAAAAAAATTACCATTACTGTTAACCACTTCAAAGGAGCAATCCACAATGAAACGAAAGTTCATTAAAACTGACATGCATTGTGACATTGTGGAGCTGACAGATCAACTGGGCCGGCAAGTTTGGATAATTGGGAATTTGGCCATCCACTTCTTTATTAGTCGTAGCGGCTACCTGGAAATCGATTCAGAACCAATACGCTCTAACCATTGTCACCATGAACTAAAATGAATGTGAGAAAGAAAGACAAGAGAAGAGACCTGCTCACTATGACCCTGGGGAAAGTAAACGACTCGGCTCCCGACTGTTGGAAGGCACACCAGAGGACCAGCACAAGCATGCCACAGCTCTGAATTCAAACACTTCTTCTCTCCTTTCAAAATCCAAGAACACCCACAGATATTAAACAGAACATCTTCATTTCTATTTATGGGTATGATTATCAAGGATATATCTAAATTAAATCCACAATCACATTCAAGTAACATTTAATACTATTTTTTTCTTTAAAAAAACAGCATAATGACCCAATTGTTTTTAACGAAGACAAAAGGACAAGGAGAAAGACACTGACAGTGATATATCAAAAGAAAAGGCTAAGCACAAAAGAAAAAGAAAAATCATTATAATACAAGGAGAAAAATCATGAAAATGTGTGAATGGATACCTTCATGAGGCTGCTGACCCATTCCTGATGTTGAAAGCTTCATTATTTTCCTCCACCCTTCAATTATCTATATAAGTCTATATGTAATATACGCAGTGTAATTAAACCCTTAATTGCGATTATCCGCACAATTAAGCCATACAAAGTGCTCAGCTTTAACCAAGAACAGCACCAGCTCGGCAAACCCTAAACTCCCAAACCAGATTCATCACCCCAAACCTCATGCCAGCCCACCCCCGGTTCATCCAGGCCCTCAATCCAACCCCAAATCTCGAATGCATCAACTTCAAAAAAAAAGGAAGAAGCTCAATCTCAGCTCAGAATCAAGAAACGAAAGAAAAGGCCCAAACCCAACACCAAGGCGGATTGAGCTAGCTCAATCTCAATTCCCTCTCCAAAACCTCCATGAAAACAGGATGAAATCGGCGATTCTTGGAGAGAAAGGCCCGGGCTTTATTCTTGGAATAGCGATGACTGAACTGGGTCTCAGCTCTGCTGCTGAAACTCAGAGCTAGCTTATCCGTGCGCCATCCATCGCTGTTCCTCTGACGAAAGCTTTTGGAGAGAGAGAGAGAGACAGGAAAGGGAGAGTTGGGTTTAATGCTTTATAGCCCACCCGACCAAGCTCGACCTGAGAGCAGTAGAGAGAGAGAGATGGCCAATGAAAGGGGAGGGGGGAGGGGGGAGGGGGGGGTAGCGGAGGT